AAAATGTTACGTAGTATAATATTTAAATTTCCATTAAAAATTTTAAACAATTTTGGCTTTTTCTTACTATGTATCATATTTATACAATTTATTTTAATGTTAAATTATTATAAGTACCCAATCAAAAAAATAATAAACATTAATGTTTTAGATTTTGATAGGAGTAAAAAAGTTAATGGTTTTCCAATGATATTTATTTTTTTTATCTGTGAACAATTTTTCTACGAGTAATATTTCTCCGATTTACATTAACAGTTGTTAGGTTAATTGTTGTTAATTGTTGCTTACAGATATACATTTAATTCCCGTCGGTATCCTACCTTCCCAATTTCCCACCTAAAATAGCATTAGTGGCTGCACCCGTTCCGATTATCCTAGAACAGCTTTTAAATATTAATGTTACTTGATATCATTCATCAAAATGACAATTTTTGTATGAATAATAAATAGGTGTACAATAATACTTGAAAAAATTAATATGCTATACATTTAGAAATATTATAAATAAGTACAGTTCATATCAGTTTGAATTTAATAATTAATATTGATAGTTACCTAAAATTTTTTTTTTTTTAGTTGAATCTTAATATGTGTAGGTTTAAATATTTGGAAGTTCAACAACTGATTGATTACCTACTACAATAAATAATATTTTTCCATATATTGAAAATATTTATTGTACAAAATAAATAATAACTTGCATTTTAAAAACGTATAAAAATTGTATAATAATACAATATTATCCGTATTGTATTTTATTACATTTTATTTTAATTATTTTCATGTGTATTTGTTTATTTTGATTTCCTCCTAAAAGAAAAAAAAAATCATATTTATATTTTTAAAATGTATTTGGTAATAGATTTACCAATTGTACCAGATAAATACGATGCAATATATAAATAAACTATTTATCGATTTGTAATGTAGTCGTATTGTAATATTTGCAATGTTGTGTTAAGTAAATTTGTATACCTAATAAAAACGTTTAAAATAATTTTTAGAATAGTTTTTTAAGGTATTTTTTAATCTTTTTTAATTAAGTGCATTAAATTGTTTGTTTTTTTAAGGAATTTTTCTTGTTTTTAGTGCATTTATTAAATCCGCACACTACTATTGAATTTTGATGTAAATAAAACGATTGAACTTTAAAAATTATTATTAGATATGTATTGTTAAATGTAATTAGATAATTTCTTACGAACAAATTAGTAAATCCCCAATAGTCATAATATAATTGTCCGTTTGAACAGTTTAATTATTGACGGCCGAATATCCGATCAATATTACTGCGCTATTATAATGTATTAACATGGGAATTAGTACCTATGTGGTATTTGTACATTTATTATGCTATTGGGATTGTTTTGTTTATTAGAACTTCAGCGTGTACAATTGATTAGCGTGTGCAGGGAGGGGAACGAGCAGGCTACCATCACCATCCTCCCCACGACCGATGTGGTGTGTTTGTAATAATATTATTGTAAGCCATACGATAAATAATAAATAAGCATTAACCGATAATGTGGCGAAATTCAACAAGCGATTAATCTGATTTTAATCACGGTTAACTTATTGGCTAATCATGGTTAAATCGGTGGTAAATAATTATACGTCTAAACTAGTAGCAATAAACAAATTTAAATAATAATAATAACGGATCATCTCTACAGTAAAACCGTACAGAACCGTTTTCCGAGAAAAAAATAAAATGTGAATAACTAAAATTAATTTCGCTGCAATTCGGTCGTTGAGCTCTAATAATAGCGAAAATTCATACAAATTTTAAAAAAAATACACACACATATATATATGTATAGTTACATATTATCGCTCCGGTCACCTCGCGTCGATAAAATTATATTACTACCGCATCACTCAACCAAATAATAATTAACTGTCTCTGAATATAGGAATGAACTCGAACGGAAAACAAAATAATATTAATAATAAGTAAACTTAAAATATTGTGCAATATTACCTGAATTGATATTTTAGATTCCGAGCGTAGCGAGGGAGCTATTGGTTTTACTGAGATGTTTATTTTTTTTTTCTTCTAGTCTGTGGACACGTTTTTTCCTAGTAAACTTGCTTTGATTTTTACGTGTAGCAACTTTTCTGAAAGCTCAAGTTGTCTTGACGGTACTTAAAAAAGGCCATTTTTTAAATAAAAGCACTTAAGTGGGAAAAAACGAAGAAAAAGGTACAATTTTCTAGAAAAAATGATTTAATCGAAAAATCGCAAGATACCTTTTTTGTTGCCTTTTTGATTTAATTTCTTATGGTATCATCGCCAAAACTTTTGGGCCACTTTTAAGCTTTTAAGGAATTTCAATTTTTGGAAGTTTTTTTACTGTAATTCGGTTATAAATACACGTAGAAACTTGAAACTTGGTAATAATACTTATATTGGACATACTTAAACGCGGTAAAATTTCCAAAATCATCGGACGATTTTTTTTTTTTATAAGCGTTTTGAAATCAAATTTAAACGAAAATCGCAAAAAATTATACGGCACTTCAAATTATGTATTACCGAACTGCACTCGGAATTTTCTTTTGTCATCCATGGTTTATCGTTGCTTACAGATATAAATGAAATAACCTTATGTATCCTACTTTCCCAACTTTTCACCTACAACAGTGGCCGTTCCCATCCTTAGTATCAGCTCTTTCTTTTTTATTATTATTAACATTTATCCATCACATACCACATTTATACCATTTTAACGAGATGGAAAAGTATATTATTTATACTTCTCCCCAATCCCTATGTATAATTGTTTTTAATATAATATGATGTTTCACATTTTTTTTCTTCAACCCTCTAAACACACATTTTTAAAGTAAATTTTACGGCCACCACTCATCATGGTGGCGGGAAGCTAATTCCTTTTTTAATCTCTCAAGAATACGTCCTTGGATGGGCAGAAGATTTGATTTGTACTGGATGTGAACATTTTAAATGATGCTCTGGCCGTCTTTATAACCATTTATCAAAAAGAATGAATCCTTTTTATATACACAAATTATATTACCTCTACACGCCTGATGGAGCCCTGTGGACTTTTCGGTGATTTTCAGGACGGATACAATTTTCAATATAATTAATACCTACATAATATAATATAATTGATAAAACCAATATTTCTATATTGGTAATATAGATACATTTCTATATTAAGACTAATTCACATATTGGCAGTGTGTTTTTTTATGAAGCCTAATTGTGTATAACTGGCAAGGTTTCCTTATAAAAGAACAGTTGTGTTCCTTATAGGTAAATGTATAGATACACTAACTGTATTTTATGGATCATTTTTTCTAAAAGTTTTACTGGGGTGGTACTTTAGATAAGTCATTTTTTGATTTTCCCAGTGTAAGGGAAAAACCCGGAAAACCGTGAGAATGAAAAAAAAAGGTACAATATTATTATTAAAGAAAATGTTTAATAATCCATATTAAGTAATTATTTTTCCAAAATATAACAAGACAAAGCAACACTATCAACCGAACTCCGCTCAGAATCGTTTTTTCGTTAGCAATGGTTAATTTTACATTTTTTTTTAACACCATATCTATCATAATATTATTTTACTGTTTTAGTAATGAGTAGATACGCATAACACTGTCTACTCGTATATTGTCATCTGCACCGTTATAGGTATCTACGTGTAAATTGATTACATATTGCCAATATACTTAATTAAATATATAAAAATATTATTTTATTATCGGCCTTGTCATATTATATGCTAACTGCATTGTACCTACATACATTATTCTACAAAGTTCATTATTTTTAAATTGTGTTTTTATACACATAACAGGTACTCAAATAGGTTTATTTTTCTTTTCAATTTATGAAAAAGTAACTTTAATTTAATTTTAATTCAATAACTAGGTAGGTAGGTACTAAATTAAAGTATCTATAGTAGGTAATTAAAAAGTAGGTATCGCAATGTATCATTCACCAGAAATAAGCCACTAGTATTTGTGTAACTCATTTTCAGAAAAATAGAAATAGAAATTGATGAAGAAAAATGGGCTGACAATGTGTTAAATATATTTGAATAAATATTTATTAAAATCTAAACAAATCATACAATCTACTTCCAATTATATTCATTATTAATATTAATAAGAGGCAATTACACAAATGTAGTCAAACAAAAATCAGAGTATAGGATACCTACCAATAATTAAAGTAGGTACCTATGAATTAAATTTACATTATTACTTAAACTGTATATTATACTGTTACTTACCCACCTATTATAAATAATCATTGATGTTTTAGTTACCAGTTTATTAGTACCTACTTAATTAATAGATAATATCATATATGGTACAATTATTCATTAATATTATTATGTAATAAGTTTTGAAAATCAAAATTATAATACTAAAACTATTTATATTTCATATCATATGCAGAGCTTGAAATGGAATAAAATTAGAAGTGGGACATAAATGTTAAAAAAATGTGAATATCTTAAGTTTTAATTATTTGTATCTTGTATGTACATTCAGAGTTAAAAATAGGAGATGTATGGGGCGTCAATCCTCAAACTTCAATTTAAACTACTGAGTTTGCAATTCAACAATAATCCAATTTTAAATTTAACAAAATTAATACATTTTGATTTTTTGGGGAATTTGATTACTTGATTACAGTTAAACTATTATTGTCAAATTTATTACTAATAAAAGGACAAGTAAAATTGATGAAATATTTTTATAGTCAGAAAATTTGTTATCACGGCTCACTCCTCAATTAATTTTTGGAAACTCAGGCTTTATGTTTATTATGAAAAAATAGTAGGGATATGCAAAGTATGTTTGAAAAATAAGAAGTACGCCCCTTAATTCAAGTACTGATCAGTGATCATATGCATTAACTATAATATATATTCAACATATTTCAAAAAATCAATCTTTTTTAAATTTATAAAAATATTATAATATGTATATATTTTTAAATAATTTGTTCTATAACACTATTAAACTGATAAACAATTAAAATTTAAAAAAATAATATATTTTTAAAGGTATAAAGAACTAACAAGTTATTAGTAAGTACATAAACTCCACAGTAAAGAATATTTTAAAGCCTTAATATGTAAAGGTGAACACAATTTTATTCAGATGGTTATATCATTATATTAAATTTTAAACTATAAATAATATTTAAATATTTTAAACCTTGATAGTTATTTCTAAAAATATTCACAAAGCAAAATTTTCCATCTATAAATATTTAAATTATATTTTTTAATTAGTATAGTTTGTTATTAAATGAAACCATATTTTCTTAACATAAAATAAATTGAGTATTTGTACATTGTGTATGAATATTTAATACAATATTTTGTTATAGATTCAATGAATATTTGTTATTTAATTTATGTATTATAAGAAAAATAATGATTAATAGTAACAACTATAAATGCGTTTTATAAAGTACTTACAAAACTATACATAATAAAGGTATTTACAAAATGATAATATTGAATGTTTTTTAAAATACTAAATTTAATTTTTTGTTAGTTATGATTAGGTAAATCAAGTACAATCTTTATGGGCACCGATACACTTTGAGGTTGTTTTTGATTAATTACATGCGACATTGTATCTAAATACATGAAATTCATAATAAATCCTACACGGACATTTTCATTAATTTCAAAATTATCATAAGGCTTCACTTCAAATTTTAATGCAACTTTGTTGCCTTTTCTCCAATAAACATATTTTGGATCGTCGTTATCAGTGTTTACTTCATTTGTATCATCATACTCAGCTGTATCATCTCTAGCTGCAATTTTAATTTCACCTTCAGGAATTATAATATCCCCCTGTAGTTCTAATGTAATAGGAATTGGTTCCGGTAATTGCTTAGGGGTAGCTACTAGATCTTCCCCTTCCAGACGCCTTGGCTCTCTTACAATATTAATTGCCTCTAAATCCATCTTTTCAAAACACACAATTGTAGATGTTTGTGCCGGATTACACAATTTAAGAATCAAGGAACTAGATCTTCCAGCTTGTAATGGTTCACATTTGATTATTTTTATTTCAGGAACATGGTAATATGCTAAGTGCTTTATTTTAAATTTCACGGCATTATATTCTGGTTTAACAACATTATGTTCACATACACGACAACGTAATGAATGCTTCACACGAAGATGTTTACGAATTGGAAATAGATCATCTATATTTTCATTTTGAATTTCAGGAGTTGCAAAACGTTGTTCTAAAGTTGATATTTGTTTTAAATCTACCAATTGTTCAAATGTATCTTCTGACAGTTCTGGAACATCTTCAGTAGCCTCAGATGGAGTAATTTGAGGTGTACAATAACCTGTACCATCCATAGAAAAATTAGGAAGTCCAGCACGTTTCCGTGCCATCATTGCATTTAAACCAAATTTTTCCAAAAAATGCATATAATTACGACCATAATTTTTAGTACTTCTTTTCTGTTTGTCAAATACTTCTTTCAAAGAAAGAGATTTATAATAGTTGATAAGATCTGAAATACGGCCATCATTAGGATTTTTATAAATTGGCCAGTTACCTGAAGATGTTGGTTGATCAGGTACATTCGGTTCATGAGATCGCCAATTGCAAAATAAGCAAAGTAAATAAAACATTTTTTGAGGGAGTTTTTTAGGTTCCAATATTCTAGAATATGAGCGCGTCGAAAGAGTATTGAAACATCGTGGACATTCTAGACATGAACCACAACGATTTTTCTTATGTTTAGCTTCAGTTGAGGAAAGGTTTTCAAAACAATGTGGACAAAAAGTAGTGTCAATTTCATGACTTACACAGAAGTCACAGCGTAATGTTAAACAATGACGGCAGAAAAACAGGTCAGGTAAACGTTTCTGTAAGCCACAAGTACAAATTGATGTAACAGTTTTTTGAACCATGTATGAAGCCATCTTAGCTGCACCGATATTTCTAAACAATTATAAATACATAAGTTAAATAAAAACAATCGTAAAGGAAAATACAAAAAATGTAACAATTTGCAAATTTAATAATAATACCAATATTAGGTATATTTAATTACCTTATGATTTTCTTGTTAAGTATAAATTGTGGGAACTTGAAGTTTCCAAAATATCTACAGAAAGAATTTAATAGTTCAATAAATATTTTAATAATAACTTTAAAATTAATAAAATATTGATTGTTTGTATAGGATTGAATACTCAAGTTACTCATCACACATAATCATTTTGGAAAAGTAAATTTGATTTTAGTTTTGATATCATATTATCAATATTTCAAAGGAATGATTGTAATGATTGTATAAAATGATACCACTAGATAGCACTAAGCAGCGGCGGTTTTTTTTTTATAGGTAATCTAGGTACTAAGACAAGCTATTAAGAATATATTTTTTGATGATGATGGACTTCCAAAAAAAAAAAAATTATAATGCACAAATAATATAACTAAAATATACATTTAAATAATGTTTTTCATAACACTTTTATTTAAATGTATGAGAAAAAAAATTGTTTGTAAAAACACCGTTGAACCGTATAACTTGATTAAACTGACGATAAAACAACGATCTATTAAGATGGAAATTAGCAACCATTGTTATTTATCTACTAGTTGTATGAAAATAAATTCTAATATAGATCGATATTGAAATCTTCCGCGATCTACCGGTCGATCGCGATTGACCGTTTGGTCACCCCTGCACTAAACAATTTGTTTTGGTCAATACAAATTTGTAGATACTTATGTATACCTAACCTAAATTATACTTTCTTAAATTAAATACAAGTCATTGAGTCGGACCTTGACAAATGTACAAGAATATAAATAAACTAATTTATTGATGAGCTAGTTAGATTTTCAACAAGTATTTTATTCATTCATTGTCTATGAGAATAATAATAATAATAATGGTTTTATGTTTAGACTATATATTTTAAAATATCAATATTAATTAAATTACACAAATAATAATAAACTACCTGCTAAAAAGTAGTATTTACAAATTATAATATTATCTAAGTTAGTTGGACATTGCTAGGATTTCAAATAAAATACCCTAACCTAATTAGAATATGAATATAAGTAGGTACTATATTTTCCTGTACTCGTTAAGAACTATTGTAAGCTAGAATTGTTTTATTGATTAGAAAATTAGAAAAATTAGAAATGTGTTGGTCCTATATTGTTCTACAGATGTGACTGAGTACAATACAATAGCTAAACAATAGTTAAACATATGGAGATGAAATTAAAATCGAATAGTCACCTAACCTATCTATAACAATAAATTAATCGATTTTCAATGAGTGCGACAAAAAATAAATAAACTGGTCATTATTTTTATTACAAATTGCGCAAAATGCCAAACGTGTAGGTATTTTATTTGAATTATTTTGTTATTTGCGTTACTTTTTATTATTAATTTTTTGAATAGTATTTATTCTGTGTGTCCACGGTTGATACAGCAACGCTATATAGGTACCTACTAGTTTAATATATTGAGATATTAATTCTACACAATAATATTATATTATTTCAACCGTAGCTAGACGATCAGAAACGTATTGCAGCCGAAAAAAACTATAGGTACCGTGCGGGAGTAGGCACGCACGCTACTTAAAGTTCGGCCGCAATTTTCGGCTAAAATACGTTTCGGAGTTTCGGACAATTAATTAATTGCAGTTCGGTTAAAACACGGATCGGCTGTACCTGTCCCGTAATACGGTTCTGCTGTTTTATTTACGGTTGCTCAGCTCGTCTCCAATTACGTCACTTAATCACCCAACGCTGGATCACAGATTAAATTAAAATGTTTCGATTTACAATAATTCTATACACTATGGGGCACAGGGGCATAAGCATGGACATTAGAGTTCATCATATTTCACGGGCATGGGCTAGATCATCTGGTTATCAGATCTTCCAAAAATGATAACGTATGATAAGAAATAAATTTCAACTCTCCAGCAAGGCAGAAATTATGCAGATATCTATGTATATTTCGCAGTTCAATCATAAAACGTAGTGTGTGCATTCTTATCAATTTTCGTGTTTTTATTCTGATTAAAATTGAATTGTTCATATATTTTGATAGGTACGCATCACATTTTTGGTTGACATATTATTGAAAGAATTTTTGGAATAATCTTTGACATTTCAATAAACCATAAGCGACCTGTATTAGACAACTTACTAAAATGACTCTACTGTAAAATTTGTGAATTGCTGTGATTTATGATTGGACGGCCGAATAGCCGATTTCGTATTTTAAAATTCAGAACAATAAAAACTTTATCTTCAGGCTTTAAACTTTTTGGTAAATTGACGTTAGATTTTTATCAATTCTGTAATGGTTATTGATTTACTGTAGAAATACATTAAATTTAAGTGAACAAAAAAAAAACCGATACATTTGTTTAACTGTTAATAGGTAGTCCATGAATATAATAATTAATCAAATTTAAATAGTTTCAAACACTATAAAACAGTAAACAAAATAATTTAAATTAATTTACTTGGTGTACCTATGACGAATCCAGGAAAAAAAGAACAACAATTTTAAAATTTTGAATTTAATATCATTAAATTATACAATTTAACAATGTAATATGATGCAATTTGTATGATTATTACATTGATAAAAAAAAAAAAAATGATATAACACTAGAACACTTTGACACTTTAGTGACTTTTGACAGACTAAATTTAATTCACTCAAATAATAGCATGAAAGTATGAAAAGGTCTTCATAGGTAATTTCAATGAATGAAATGAATAAAATACATTGCAACCACCCATTATTTTAAAAAGTTTCAACTTTTTCACATAACTTTTTATTATTTTTATCAAAAACCAACATTTTTCAAAAGGAATATATTTAAAAATTTTATTAAATGCAATTTTTTTTTAATTTTCATAGTTAGTTATTATATTTAAAATTGTTGTTCTATCTATCTGTGTTTTTTTTTCTGTGGTATTTTTTTTATCGTTTATCACCTATAATAGTTGTGATAAATTACGTGATATTCCATTGGAATTTGATCGTTATACAAAAAATCCAGGATAATACGGAAAAATGATAACAGCTTGAAAGTGTAATTTCTATATCCATGTTTAATAAATACTAAATTAATACTCCAATATTTAAACGTTAAATTGTTTCGTCTGTGGTCCCATATTAATCGAAAATAAACACCGACTCGTTACGCAAAACCACGTAGGGTAGGATTTTATTGCGCGTGCAGCGGTGCAGGAACCGATCTCCCGAAATTGGATATTGATGACATCTCGTTGCTATCACGAATAAGCACAAGTGTTGTTATCAAAATGGGAGAACCGTGTCCGTCTCGAATACCGGTGCGTGGAGGTATCACTGAAAATATTATTAACGGATGAGGTGAACACAGTGCATGCAAACGAAGGGAAAATGCGATCGTCAGGGTTGCGTTCGGCGGATGTCAAAGAGTATGTGTTTGACTACGGCCATCCGAACGCAGCGGCCGCCGTTCGAACGTTCTAGAATCTGCACACTCATTCGATAAAACGTCGTGTACGTCGGCCTTTCTCAATCCGCGTTCATAGCTCGTAGTTGTGTATTGTCGGACGAGCGTACTTGTGATTCGTGCAATACCTACACAACCGTACAACAAGACGGATTCGTCGGATTGATCGTACAAGACGGACCGCGAGTAAAGCTGCACGTTTATTTTATTTTTTTTTTTCCGGTGCTGTTCGTTTCGAAGTTTGCCGGGACACGTCGCCGTTAAATTGTAAGTAGAAAACCGATACGCAGTTATTATAATAACACCTGCGGTTATAAATATTCAGTTGTACGCGAGTACGACCGTAATACGTTGTATTTTTTGTTCTGCGGTAACCGTAGTTTACAAGTATTCCGACTTGGACGCGGAACCGCTGCCGTTCTCGTTCAAACGGCCTTCGGCGTTTTTTTGCTCGGCATGTGCGCTTCGCACCCGACAACAGCTGACCTTGCCCCGTACGCGCATGATAAAATTCCGTCTCGTCCGCGACCCTCGTGTGCACGCCGCCGGAACCTCCACGGGCGGCCCACGGAAATCGCCATTTTTCCCGTCCCGGGCGCGGTCTTCCCGTTCGGTTTTCCCACGGCTGATGAATATAATTTCGGTAACGGCTGCGGCCGACCAACGAGACCCGATCATCGCGAGGTTTTCCCCCCTCCCCTCCGTGACACTACCGTTTGTCGGTGTAGGAAAACAAAGAGTGCTTCCGTTGTGGGTGTGCGTGCGCGCAGCATTTGGGACTGTACAACGTTCGTTTCGTTTCGCCGTACCGTTTTTTTTTTTTTTTTTCTCCACGCGTTATTAAGACCGACCAAAAACGCTATTACCATTGTGCCGGGCCAAAAATATAATAACCCGTCCCCCCGGGTCGATCATTCGAACGTTATTGCAAACGGCGCTGTTACTTGTTAGCGGTCCGTCGACCCGGGCACCACTCGCACACACGCACGCACGGACCGTCGGTCCTTTGTCGTTTGTGGATACCTATCGATTTCGCGTGCGGACGTCCTTTCGGGTTGTCGTCCGTCGACAATGCCCTACGACATTACGCAATACGTAATTATTTTCATTTCATCGTCAGAATCGGAAACCGACGACTTCCCCTTCCCTGGAAATCGGCAACGGCCGGGAACTAAACGTAGGTACACTGGCGGTGGCCGCGGAGTATCCCCCCAGTGTTACTCGTTTTCTGACCTCGGATAGCGATATATAATTATAATAAATATTAATAGGTTCCTTTGCCGTGGTCTCTGTAGACGCTCAAAAACGCATTTTCTTAACCCGACTAATAGTTCCCGCCGGTCGTTAATATTTATCGGTAATTTCGCGCCCGTCAGTTTTTGCAGGCGACGCCATTCGTTATCACAACGTCGTCGGAAAATTATTACTGCTTGCCCGCGTTCGAATTAATTAATTCGGTCTTCGGTTTTTTTTCATCACCTTACCATAATGTATTCAAAACCGTACTTTGATATGCGTACAAATTAATTATACATTGGTAGTCTCCTGCTTAAAAAATGATCGTGGGTATTGTATTGTAGTGAAACTCGAAGTTTCTATTAGTGTACCTATACTATTGTTATAATCGTACAGATTGTAATTGTAACGGTTTGTTTAGTTTTCATATTGTAAAACTGTCGAGTGTTCACAATATTGGATTGAATAAGTATAAATGCTAAAATTGGTATTTAATTATTAATAGAAAGGTTTATTGAGTACCAGGGAATTTGTATGCCTAGGTATTGGAATTTATTTTTATTTAAGTGTTCTGAAAGAAGTGTTCATTATTAAATTATATTATCGACGTTAGATATTTACTTTTAAGATTTATTGCATTTTGAACTTTGGTGTGTAATTTCAGTTAAATTTTAAAACATTTTAAATTTTTATTTGGTTTTTATCATTTTATTTCTAATTCTGACTAGGTTAGGTACCGTCTGTTTAATTTGACTATACGTATACGCTTACCCTTCGATTAGTAATTTTCATGTTTGAATTACTTATTGCATATACCTACACGCTCAATTTTTACTATTTATCTATATACCTATTTTAAACATTTTTTACACAAATTAAAATCTCATAGGCTCCTCTTTTAACACGGAATACAATGAAAATGTGTATTTGTTTTAGTGTTTGATACAAAATTTAAATTAAATGTTTTAAATTATTTAGTTGTTCACTCATTATAAATTCTTTATTTGATTTTTAATTAGGTATTTATTAGAAATTGTGTTATTTCTAATTCATAATAAATTATTAATCGTTAAAACAATTGTTGTTTTCTTTTGTTTCAGACTTATTTTAATTGCATTAACCTTTAAAAATGGTTAAGGAAACAACTTACTACGACATCTTAGGAGTCAAACCTAATTGCACCAATGACGAGCTTAAAAAAGCATATAGAAAACTTGCATTAAAGTATCACCCAGACAAGAACCCAAATGAGGGTGAAAAGGTAAATTAAATATTTATTGTGAATATTCTGAATTTTGTTAATTATTAATTTTTCTATATTTTAGTTCAAGCAAATTTCTCAAGCGTATGAAGTATTGTCAACTCCAGAAAAACGTCGTTTATATGACCAAGGTGGTGAACAAGCACTTAAAGAAGGTGGAGTTGGTAACAACTTTTCGTCTCCGATGGATCTATTCGATATGTTCTTCGGCCAATTTGGTGGATCTGCCCGTGGCCGTGGCCATCGTGGACCTCAAAAGGGCAAAGATGTTGTTCATCAATTAAGTGTTTCTCTTGAAGATTTGTACAATGGCTGTGTTCGCAAATTAGCATTAGAAAAAAATGTTATTTGTGAAAAATGTGAAGGTAGAGGTGGCAAAAAAGGCGCAGTAGAACAATGTCCGGCGTGTCAGGGTAGTGGTATCCAAGTGACAATTCATCAATTAGGGCCAGGTATGATTCAACAAGTGCAGTCTATGTGTAACGAGTGTCGTGGTCAGGGTGAACGAATCAACCCTAAAGATAGATGTAGGACTTGCACTGGAAAGAAAGTAAGTTATTTATGATTGTGTAATGATTTAACATATTTTATCAAATTAAATATTTTAAAGGTTACTCGTGAAAGGAAGATTTTGGAGGTAAATATAGATAAAGGAATGGTTGATGGGCAAAAAATAACATTCAATGGAGAAGGTGATCAAGAACCTGGACTTGAACCCGGTGATATTATTATTGTCTTAGATGAAAAGGAACATCGTAATTATAAGTACGTAACTGATAAAATTGACTTTATCAGATAACTCTATATTAATAATAATAAATCTTGTTTTTAAATAGGAGAAGCGGTACAGATTTGGTTCTCCGTTTGGAAATTGAACTTGTTGAGGCATTGTGTGGATTCCAGAAAGTTATCAAAACATTAGATGATAGGTCTTTGGTCATAACTACTATTCCAGGTAAATTAATATGTTGATTATCATGACTTATAGTGCAATAATATTTGCTATGTATAATAAAAACTTTCATATTTTATTTACATGATCTATTTATTTAGTATACAGTGTATTATAATTATAACACTAAAAATAAAGTATTGTCATACCATGCTAATGTTACAGACACTTAAATTTTTTTTATTAATCATACATTAAACATTTTTGTTCGGCTTTATTCTATTTTTAAAGTTTTATATTAATCAGTAAATATAATAAAACTATCAATTTTAAAAATACAAATTCTCTTACAGTTCTTGGTGTCACAAGATTTCAAATAATGGCTGTTGTAACCATACAATTTGAGTACAAAACTAATATAATGGAATTTATTTGTAGGTGAAGTTTTGAAGCATGGCGATGTCAAATGTGTTCTGAATGAAGGTATGCCTCAGTATAAGAACCCATTTGAAAAGGGTCGTATGATCATTCAGTTCCTGGTTACTTTCCCTGATAAATTGCCTGCTGCAAATGCAACTTTGCTTGAATCATGTCTTCCTGCTAGGTAAGAACTATATATTTTGATTTGTTTAAACCAAAATTATCTATTATTAGAAATAAATTTGTTAGAACGTGTGTTAAGAGAACACCACCCCTGCATTTACTGTCTCAATCCAATTACCGAGCAACATACAAAGACATTATTTATGCAGACTTAATATAACCAGCTTAATTTTGATTATAGAAGAAAAGTACTAATCTGAAATTTCTGCGAAAAATATTACATATTTTTGGATGGTACCTCAACGGATTTTTGTATAATTCTAAACACAAAAAGCAAACACTATTTTAGTTCATTTAATTATTCCAAAAACGCTTATGAGATTGTTTCCAAAGTATTGTTTTCTATAAATTTGTATAACTGGTACTTTTACTCTAAAACCAAAATTAAGCTAGTTTTATTTGGTTTGTGTGAGCAATGTTTTTACTCTTGGATTGAGCAGTAATTGCGAGTGTGGCAGCTTTTTATAATTTGGTTAGTTAGAATTTTTATAGTTTGATAGATACAGTATAGTTTCATTTTAGAATTTGAATATTCAGAAAGAACTTAATTTCTGTTGAAAATTTTAGATAATCTAAAATTAAAATAATAGTATCTTGGTAGCCTCTTGGGTGTTTTAAATCTGCCCCATTTTCTAAAATATTATTTTTTACTGTATTTTAATTTAAATAATTTGTTTTAAATTTCAGACCAGTTGAGGTCATACCGGAAAATTCTGAGGAAGTATCGCTGATTGAGATGGACCCAGAATATGAATCTAGAAGACAAAACAGACGGGAAGCGTATAATGATGAAGATGGACCTACTCGAAACGTGCAATGTGCTTCACATTAATGTTCTATCACTTTTTAAGTCCATGTATTTTACAGTACCAAATTGTACTCATTCCGTAATAAGACACCGAGCAAAAAAAAATTTTGATGACTTGTGAAAATATTAGATATTTATTCAATATGGATACAGTATTTCTTTCCTATTATAACATGGTTTTTTTTTTTTTTCTAAAAAAAAAAATCAAAAATAATAAACTATTCAATTCATTTAAATGCTTTCTATTGACTAATACATTAGTACACTCATACATACTCAAACATTATTAGTGTTACTTGTTGTTTATTTGATAGAAAAAAAAAAAAGAAGAAAGATATTTCGATCTACACAGAATTATTATTTTGTTGTTTCAGTTATGAAATACGTGCTTGATGTAACATCTCTTGTCTAACTGCGTATTTTGAGTGACTAATTACTAGATGGACAAATTTCTTTATTATTCCTGAACTGATTCCATTAAATTAGACTTCTATGTATATTTTTATATATATTAATCATAAATTTAAAACAAGGACTATAATAGTAATCATAGTTTTTATAATAGTACATTGTAGTTCACTGAATTTATTGAGAATAATATTTACAAATCTATATTGAACAATCTAACATTTAGATCAATGACTAATTAAGTTTCCATAAAATCAACTAATTAAATAGAAATAAATTAATTTTTCATTATTCAAGAAAACAAAATGGACACAAATTTAGTTAACATTGGCAAATATATTATTTGTGGACTTTAGTAAGAATTTTTCTTTATCAAGGAAAAATAATTGATAAATATTAATCTAAGTAAAAGAAAAACATATTTTTGTATATAAATGTGTAGGGTTTTGTTTTTTTTTTTGTAAATAGAAAGTGCACACAAAAATAGTTTTTGAAACATTTAAAACTTTATTGAAGTGTGTTTAATTTAGTCATTTTTTTTTATGTATGTTTAACAAACCAACTATTGTTGGGCTAAAATGGTTTCTAAATAAAGTTGATTATCATCAGTTTTATTTTAAAAACATTTTTTTTTATTTTATACATTTTACATTCATATTTGAAAAAATAAATTTACATTATTGCACTGAAAAATTAATAACTGATTTGGTTAATACTAAAAATTCTTATTAGCTATCTCAGTCTTAACTATTATATTTAATGTATATATATACAGTGGAACGTTGATAAGTCGAAATAAATGCTGTTCTTTTGCGAAAACCTCGATTACTTTGAACTTTTTTGTGTTTTGATATACATTGATAATGGTATATAATTTTCTAATTTGTCTATTCAGCTTGTGCGTCTCATAATTTAACCAAATCGACTATTGAGTTAATTTGATTTTTTATGTTTATAATTGTAATTTTCATTTGGTTTATTGTCACTATGTTAGGGTATTGTCAGTTGCGATTGATCAGTTGTTTGGGTACAGTGGCGAATGTTAAAATGCCTCGTAATTTTTTAGTAATAAAATTTAACATTTCTAATAGTACACACTGTAATTATATGTATATATTATTATAAACTATATAATGACTAAAAAATTTTGGTAAGTCGAAAAATTTGTATTTCTCTTGAATTTCGACTTGTTGAAGTTCTATTGTGTTGTGTAGATTTAAAAGAAAAAAATGTTTGATGACATTTATGCTGTAATGGTTTACTTGCATTCAAATAATATTCAATAAGTAAAATAGGATTAAACATATATATATAAAACACTCATTATCTCTGAATATATTATTTTTTGTGGAATTTAGGAGTTAAAGAAATGTATATGAAACAAGCAACTTAACAATTTTGCATTTGTTATTTATTCACATCCTTATTTTTGGGGGTAAATCCACTACCTACTTAGAATTTTCAAATAGTACCATATGTTAAAAAATTAATTTAGAATATTAGTCAAAATGTTTGATTTCATCAATCTGTTTGAGGTACTCTACTTTTAAGTTAGGTAAGAGGGAGAGTAGTGTTACATTATCAAAATGCTCCTGTGCTATGCTGTTAAACATGATTTTTCACTACTCAGATAATGAGTGTATCCAGTGAAATAGAACACTTGTTTAAATGGTTTGATAATGATAGTTTTACCATCAGATGACGTTTTATAGTTATATTTTATATCTAATTAAACAAGCCAATTTATAAATATAACCATGTCCTTTTGTATGAATATTTTAATTTCTTAAAATTGTTACGCGCATTACAAAATTGTAGTTTTTGTTTTTCTAGGGCATCATAATGACCACTCGGATATATTTCCGCAATATCTCCATTGACAATTTCTCTTTGGTCTCCGCCCCAATTGTCTTGAGGCCTTTCTTTATTCTTCGTGCCTAATGTTGTTTATTAATTTAACTATATAATAGGTACTTCACTTAAAGTTGCATTTTTAATGAATATCTAACGTACAAGTTAACTAGACTTATTTATTTATAAATCCTACTCCATAGCATTCAAACTGTATTATAGGGTAGGCTACGTGGTAGAAGTATAGACAATAAATTAATACATATTTGTACAAACGTTTTAAATGGGTCTAATACTATTTTATATTTATACATAAATTATAAAATAGTATTTTATACACTTATTATTTTGAAATAAATGTGTAGACATGAATAGTTGAATTTTTAATAGCGAGTGGTGTATGACAAATCCATAATCCATGTGTAGTACACGGAAAGTTTGAGGGACTCTGCTTTATAGTTCAGGGTTTACTTTTTTAAATAATTGTACTTTGTTTAAAAATAGTTTAGGTTTGTGCAGTTATTTAGGTACATTACTTGTTGGTAGACGTGATGGATGATACTATCTCGGATACAAGTCTTCATATTTGGCATAGAATTGCATTTTTAATTAAGTTCTAGACATATTTTTACTCAATGATTGCATGTGTATTGTCACGTTATTATTAAATAACTTTATATTATTTTAACGCATATTTTCAATAAAATTTAATTTTTAATAATAAATAATTGTATAGATTACATATAGATTAAATATTTTCCATATGACCAAATAATAACTAAACAATAAAAAAAAAAAAAAATAACATTTTTTCCCCTAACTATCATGTACAGCATTGATGAGCACTTCTAAATGTTGTGGATCAACATCAGGATATATACCATGACCCAAATTTGCAATATATCTACTTTTAGTAAATTTGGATTTCATCTCTTTAACCATTTCTTTGATTCGTTCAGGATGTGCATACAATACACAAGGGTCTAGATTCCCCTGCAAGGTTATATTCTTACCCACTATTTCCCTGGCTTCAACAGGATCAATTGTCCAATCCAAACCTATAATATCATACCTAAATTTGGATAATTGTTTCAATGCATAATGACCGCCTTTGGCAAATACTACCATTGGTACACTTTTTTCATTTAATTCGTTTTTAACACGGGAGCAAATTGACGACAAATAAGGACCACTGAACCTAAAACAAAATATCAAAATAATTTTCTTAACATCAACGGGTTAATATTATCGTTTATATACTTGTTGAATAATTCCAAGTTCAAGTATTCGGCATTAGATTCAAAAACTTGCAACATTTGAGCACCGGCTTTGACCTGTTCTACTAAATATTTTACTATAATATCTTCTAGTATTTGTAATAATTTTTTGCTTTCTTCTGGATATTTGTACAACCATTTTTTAGCTTTAGACATTGTTTTCGAACCACCGCCTTCTATCATGTAGCACATGAGCGTCCAGGGCGCACCGGTGAATCCTATTAGAGGTACCTGTAAAACAGCATTGTTAATTAAATAACGGATTATAGTATTAGAAGTTATCGTGCGGTGCTAAAGTAGAATTTTAAAAGCCAAGTAATATTTCACAACCCAACACCATTATTTGCACACACTCACTATTTATTAGAACTTTTATCACGTTTAGTACAAATTATACCACACAGAACCAAGGTTTTGACTGGTCGATACAAATTTTTGTATTAATCTTTTTACTTTACCTTGCCATTTAGCGTATGCCTAGTAAGTGATATAGCTTCGAAAACATATCCTAATTCTTGTGCAACGTCGACACATTGATTCAGTTTATCTAAATCAACGGGCTCTTTGAGAGGATCCGGAATAACAGGTCCGACACTCGGTTGCATTTCAACAATCATACCCAATGCTTGGACAATCACCAGTATATCACTAAAGATGATGGCAGCATCCAAATCGAACCTATTAATAGGTTGAAGCGTTACTTCGCACGCCAATTTCGGAGTCCGGCATATGGTGAAAAAATCGTAACGCGACCGCAATTCCCTAAATTCGGGTAAATACCGACCGGCTTGACGCATAATCCAAACCGGAATGCGATCGACTTCTTCTCCTCTGGCCGCTCGTAAAATACGATCGTTCATGAGCACGGGGAAATCCATGCTGTTAAATAAATTATGGGCACAAAATATACCTGTAAAAGTAGGTACTCGTAATTAGGTGTTTTTGCAATGAAATTAATGTTAATCAACAATAAACGTGATAATAAAAAACTGCTGGCCGCTACGTAATCTTTTCCGTGTGATAACACGACAAAATTAATTTGTTTACACATGTTCCGGACTCAATTCATACGATTGATTAGGATGAATTTTGCAATTCAATGAATTATTATCACCGATATCTGCTCATCGCTGCGCGAAATTGATTTTTTTTTCGTTTTTCAAATAATTAAAAATGAAAACATATATTATTTTATCCGAAGAACGTTGGTATCACGGCCGCGGTCGATATCAGTCGATTATACGGAACTGTACTGGGCCGTTGATAATAAATCGATTCCAGTCAAATATTACGCGGCGCGCGGTGGTGTCGTTTTGAAGATTCTAGAAGGCGTCCGTTCTGTGGTCTTCCGATCGGTTCCCGTTCGTTTTTTTCGGGTTTTAGACCGCAGGGCACCGTCACCGCAGGGAGGAGTCTGTTAACTTTCCGTCGGCGTTGGTAAACATTTCAAAAACGGGTACGGCCGAAAGTGAAGTCCGCTTCGATTTACTAGGTACCTACCTACCCGTTCTAAATGCGCCCAATATTACTCGTACCGTTGATTTTATAATACGTGCACATACACACATGCGTACATTATACGTCGGTGTGTTGTTATAAAAAATCAATGGTCGCGCCGGGGTGCCGTCCAGTTGTGAGCGCCCACGGTTCACAGAACGTCCGGGTACTACGCATTGATTATCCCGCGAACCGGACGATTTACATTTAGGTCGGGTAATTTTGTTTTAATACGCGCGGTAAATTTAGGCGCAACGCGCATACCTACGTATGTCAACTCGCTGTGTCGGCACCTATAACCTAGGTTGCGGGTATGTCATATTGTCGCGTAAAAAAATAAAAATTATTATTTTATAATATTTTTGCGTTTCAAACAAAATGTGAAAATATCGATTTAACGCGGACCTCGTGGATTTGTTGTTTGTACGCCGTCCTGTTTGGGAAACGCGACGATTGTACAAAAACTTTCGTAACTTTGAAACTGGAACCGTCGTGTTTATTATGTTTTTTTTTTTTTTTTTTTCTATTGTCAAATAAACCGTATTTTTCTGATAACATTAGATAAATCGAATCGACGGTTAAAATGAAAAATAAACGATTCCGTCGAAACCTCTGACAAATAACTTAACCTAATCTAACCTACCGATGCTTCCGGAAACAATATCGACGTAGAAAATAAACGAATGAAAAACATAGCAAAATAATTGGACGGAAAATAATAATAGTTCGGATTTTCAGAATACATAAACAAACGATGGAAAAAAAAAAAAAAATTGACCGACGTACTTCGCACGTGGGCGCAGCCGCTGTTGTAGGCGGCAAGCTGGGAGTATAGGGACACAGACGGAAATTGAATGTACATCTGTAAGCAACGATAAACCATTGCTAGCGAAAAAAACGATTCCGATCGGAGTTCGGTGGATAGTGTTGCTTTGTCGACAGTACATTATATGGTGTATTATGGTAAAATGATTACGACAGTGTGCATTCCCAGAACAACAATGATTGTTTAAAAAAAAAAATAAATAAAAAACGGTTGCCGATGACAGCCTTATTTTTTTTATCTTTAAATCTTTTTTGACCTAAAGACCCAGGTTTTCCCCGGTATCTCGAATATTAATGAGAATTTCAAAAAAAAAAAAAAAAAAATCACTTCTCTAATGTATCGCCCCGAGAACATTTCCTTTCAGCAAAGACGTTACGCTCGACGTCCGGACTGTGTTTCCCGGTAGAAAAAGCGTTCGCGTAAAAAAAAAAAAATTTTTTTTATAAAACCGTCGTGAAACCAACGCATTCGGTTCGTTCCACTCGGGATTTAAAAACCGGAGTGTGGGCGTGCGATAAAACCGTCGGAATACTAACCAGCATTCGGAACCGCGTAGCGTCGCAATCGTCGTTTTTCCGTTATTACACGTTAACGTTTAATGCAAATTATCGACGTCGTTACGCGCATCGGCCGCGGTATTTCACAAATCGGCCGGAAAACGGACGACAGTGCCGAGGTCCGACGCGTCGCGGCGGTTTGCGCGCGTGCGTATGATCGCCGGCTAATCGCGCAGTGCGCGCGAAATGTCCGGTTAATAACAACGGCCGGTTCTCTCATTTCGCGTTTCGACGTCAACAACCCCCGAAATCGCGCGCGGAAACCACGAGAAAATCCGACGACGCCGCCGCGGCCGAGACGCGCGCCGCCGTTGTCGGCCGCGACTCCGTTCGTCGGGCAAACGATAAATGTCGGCCGATCGCAGTCGCTGCGGCTGTCGTGCACGGGCGCTTGCCGACAGCCCGACAGAATTTGACACGTGCGCGGCCGCTGCATGAGGGATTGCGGCGGCGTTATAAAACGACGGTTCTCGCGCGTCGTCCGGAACGTGCGCGGGCGCCGTTTTTCCGATACAGAGCGCCCCGATCGTTCACTCCGACCGTGTAACGCGAACATCATCAAATTATCGATTTTACCCGTTGTGCGTCGACACAGACCGTGGATTGTCTGCACTCGCGTGCGTATCGGTTGCCGTCGCGTCACGGCAAGGCGGTAACGCGAACACGCACGGTACGCCGTCCGATCTATTGCGGTTTCACCCGATCGAGGCCCGTTGGCGGTTTCGCTAACGGCGCAGCGGGAACGTTGGACTTTATGCTTTTGTTGTTGTCGGTATCCCGTCGGCATTTCGCCGTTCGTATTTATACGAGGCGTGGCCATTAAATAACGAGACTGGTTACGAAAAAACGTTTTGTTACAAATGTCGTTCTACATTCAAATGCTCCCCTTCAATATAGTCCCTTCCCCTGGCCACGCACCGTTTCATTCGTTTCTTCCGTCGCTCGGGGCAGTGCTGGAAGTCTGTTTTCGTAAGACCATTCCAGGAGTTCCGCCGGTTTTTGTTCCACCTCTCCCATCGACTCAAACCGGACTCCTTTTAAGGCAGACTTAATCTTCGGAAACGAGTAAAAGTCGCAGGGTGCCAAGTCGGGTGAGTAAGACGCGTGTTCGAGTACTGGAGTGCCTCCAGCGGCCAAATAACGCTTCACGCTTTATCCTGGTGCAAGATCCACGACTTGTTTTTCCACAATATCGACCGTTTCTTACGAACTCATTCGCGCAATGTTGCCAAAACTGTCAAATAATAGTAATGTTGGTTCACAGTTTGACCCTCTGGAACCCATTCGGTGATCACGATGCCGTCGATATCGAAGAAAACGGTTTTGAATTTGGATTACGACTGAATTGGATTCCGGCGCACTCTCGATCTTAAGAAAAATTAATTTACGCCACTCGAAAACACGCGCCCGAGATAGGGAATCCTCACTATAGGCCTCTTTTAACAACTTGTAGCACTCAGTTGGAGTTTTTTTTAGTTTAACGGGAAAATTTTACGTTTATCCGTTGCTCATGGTTTTCGTCACACATGGTTTTCGGCACGAGAAAAAAACACGTTCGTTTCAAACCACTACTGCACAAATACTATAACAGTGATGAAAACGTGTTTTGGTACGTGCATAGACAAGACATCTAGATACCCAACGCATTACTCGTTTTTTTCACTACCCATCTAGGGAGCCTTCTAGACGAGCAGTCTCGTTATTTAATAGCCACACCTCGTATACTTATAAGTATTGTGAAATGCATTGTGCCAAATAAAAACAATTTAAAGTCGGTATATCTATGTATGTACACACATACCTACTAAGCATTAATGCAATTCGACGGCATCCGGGGCATCAAAGGGGTTGCGTTCGGATTTACGTTACACCGACGGTGAAAAGTGGACAACTCAACTCACCTCATTAGGTATACACAATTATATTTGTTTTACCGCATAAATGATCTTTCTCTCAAGTCTTAACGACGCCTGAAATAACGATATAAGATAACCGGTTGTACCCGTTTGTTAAAAATTTTGATTTTAATTTTACGGTAACGTTTAAAATGTGACTTGACCCCTTTTACCCGGAGGCCGTCGAATTACAATCGATGGCTACGAAAAAAAAAAAAATATATTAGTATGGGCACTGCCCCACATGGAATAACACAAAATTCGGTGTTTGATAACTCGCAATAACCCATTCACCCCCCTCCCCTCCCCACCTCGAGTAATCCCTGGATCCGCCTATGTTTGAACGCACACAACATACTCGGTAAATACCTATTATAGCTGCTACAACAAAGCAAACTGTTATATTATTGTTTCCACGATACGTAACGCGATTACCAACTACCCACCCCCAGTGAACGAGTATAGTAAGTATTGACAAAACACGCAGGACCGAAACGAAAATAAAAATAAAAAAAAGGCTAAATTGTATTATTATTTTGTTTGCAATACTATAGAGGTGCGCTGCAGTTTAGATGCCCGTATTTTGTAATATTATATTTCGGTACGGTTATCATACACGTGACAGTATCTTTACGTTTTAAAGTTTTGTTGTTTTTTTCAGTTCGATTACGTTGATGTATCGATTTACTGGAGTTTTACTCAGCGGTTAAATACAAATAATTCGCAAACAGTATGCCGTTCAAATTGCCCATGATACCGGGATTTCAAAATTACAATCAAGTAAAACAACGTTTTGCTATAGTATTCAAATTATACTTACCTTTGATTTTGTATTTCAAACACGCGTATGTACAAGGAGATAAAAATGAGGTATCCGAAGACACCCGATTTGGATATAATGAACGGCGTTCACATCATTAGATCGTTACACGTGAAAAAAGATAATAAGTTTTGTAACAATAACTATTCCGGTTTCAATTCCGTGGCGGATGTGTACACAAATAATTACGAGGAATCAAACAACAAACCTACCTGGCTAGTATTCGACAAACAGGTGAACTTTAATAGATCTTTTAGAAAATACAATCTAAATGTATAACCAGTATTGCACAGTGGCGCGGCCAGGATATTTTAAAAGGGGGTGTGTCACGTGTTCATATATTTTTGAAAAAAAAAAAAAAACCCCGTTCCAATAAATTTATATTACTTAAACGCGGATGTAGGGACGTATCGAGAAACCCGAAACACCTCCCTGGTTGCGTCACTTCAATTAAAGGCGTACATAAAATTAAACATTAAACATACATGTGCATTGATAGCATTTTTTTTTTTGTTTAAGAATCTGACATTTGACGCGTATTTCAAAAGTACGGTGAACGAGAGTTTTGGTTGTAGCTATAATTTAAGAAAATGTAAAATAATTTATTTTCTTGAAGACGATACGATAAAAGTAGTCGAACCCGTCGTGATCAATAGTGGTTTGCCACAAGGTATTGTTACGATTTCATTACGAATATTTTTCTTTTACGTAGTAATTTATAAAAAAAGACGGACATGCTTCGCACGATGGGTGGGCCACAGTTGTAGATGAGAAGTTGGAAAGATGCGATGTAAAGGGGAGTTTNTAAAAAAAGACGGACATGCTTCGCACGATGGGTGGGCCACTGTTGTAGATGAGAAGTTGGAAAGATGCGATGTAAAGGGGAGTTTAATGTATAACTGTCTGCAACAATTAATCATTACAAACGAAAAGCAATTCTGAGCGAAGTTCGGTTATACATGTTTTAAAATGTCGTAATATTTACGATTTTCGTAAAAATTTGATATTAAAATTCTTATAAAAAAATACTATATCAAACTCAATTTTTTCTTGTTGACCACAACATAATTTAGCATAACTTATAATGAACCTCCTGTTAAATTTCCATAGCATTTCTGTTTGATCTTACAAATTTTATCCACAGATTAGTTACCTACCGAACACAAATTACGTAAACAACTCGGAAAATTAAAATAAATAGCTCAAAACCGCGTTAAATGTTTTGAAAATGTTACCACGTTTGGGATAAAATATTAATCTAAGTTTTCTGTTCAAATTTCAAGTCTCTACGAATATTTTGAATTAATTTACAACAAAATTATTTCCGTACATTTTCCCGTTTTTTATACGTTATTCACAATTGTCATGGAAACTGCTTGGAAAATCAAAAAATGATTTTCTCAAAGTATCAATTAGATAACATGTTTTCAGAAAAGATGCTACATTTGAACATTTGGTAGAAATTTTGTACAGTATAAAAAAAAAAAAAAAACAAAAAAAAAATAGCATTGTAAAACCGCTTCGCTTCGCTCAGAATCTAAAATTAGCTATAAAAACCGCGAGTAAATATAATATTAATCATACACATATCGCGGGTTCGCATCTAAATATTGAAAGCTTAGCTAAGGTTTACTAAATTATACTACTAGTTAATTTCGGTTATATTTAGTTCAGGAAAATCGTGTACATGACTTGGTGCAATATGTTATTTTATAATTTGTATTACAGAAAAGAAGTTATTTTATACCGTATTAAATTAACATGCTATTTTATTTGACCAATACTGCTACCTGTATAGATTTGAAATATTTCTGAACAAATGGTAAAACACGTATACCGTTGTTGTATAATCGCGTGTTTGTACTTAGCGGGTCAATATCTACACAGTCATATTGATTTATTCAGATAAAAATATTAAAATACCTCTTGTGAAAAAAAATTGCGATTTTATAATAATTTGTCGTAAAATGTGTTATATTATAATGTTGAACTAATATTGAAATAATATGCTCGCGATTATCTATAAAAAGAATCATGATACAAGATGACTCACGACTGTATGTATTGTAACGTTTCGTACTTATGAATCAACATTTTCGTATTATTAATCATTAATTTAAAGTGTATCCAATAATGTTAGTTGAGTAGATATCGAATGTTAACACGTCGTTTGTTGTAAAAAATGTTTACACATATTTTATAAATCATTTTTTAATGTATAGTTTATTTACTAAAGGAATGATTGGGTACCCAGGTGTAATTATTTTAACCTATATGTACATGAGTATTTTAAGTGTACCTACGCGAAATAAATTATTTTTCCGTAAAGTATAATATTTTGTTGAGCTCAATGCAACAACAAGATAAGTTGACGAAATTGCGAAATTTTTCAGCAGATGGACAAAAAAACCATTGCTAATATAATAATACGGTCTTTATTTTGTCCAGAATTTAGCCGGACCAGACAAGCCCGTATCGCTAACGTTTTCTCCGTACTTGCGTTATTATTGCACCGAATTACGTATCATGATATATTGTTTTACTCGAAACTATAAAAAAATGATTTAAATAAAGTGGATCTGCCTTGTTGTTGCGTTGAGCCAAATTTTAGATTTTTATTTATGGGATAATATAAATATAACGTGTCCGTAGGATGTTTGATCAAACGCCACAAAATTCCTTTACCAAATAACTATGGCGATAATGATTATTATCAACTAACCGATTTGAATGTTGGCGTAACAGTAGAGTTTTACGGTAAACATTTGAAAATAATTGGCGCCGATAATTTTACCAGAGATTTTTTAAAGAAAGCCGGTATCGATGTACCGGAAAATATGCCAATGCCCATTGACCCATATTTCATAAATAGAGAAAAAGTATGTGATCTTATTATGTTAAATTTGTAATTTTTAAATGGTCATCAGTGGCGTAACCACGGGGTGGCGGTGATAGGGATAGATATCTCAGAGTTTAATTTTTTGATGTTACGTACCTTAGTAAATATCCATCTACTAGCCCAGTTTGCAGTGAAAAAAAGAAAAAAAAAAAAAAGAACAGTCGATTCTGAGTGTTATTAGTAAATAACTAATATTGACCCAGATATTGGTAACACTGCAGAAATCAACAGAAATAAAACATATATGTTCCTATTAATATTTGTTGTCGTTTTTTACATTTTGAAGAAAAACTATGGAATCTAGAAATTGTTTTCAAATGAAGTACTAATGGTGGAAAAATCCGCATATTTTAAAGCGGAGCATAAAATATTTTGTATTAACAAAAGTGTTTGCCATACAAAAAAAAAAACCAATCTTAGTAATACTAATAGCTTCTTCATTTCACTCAGAATCTACAAAATAGATCTGTTTGGAGGGTGTGTGGGAGGGGTCCACACAAAGTTTAATTAGTGAATTATTCATTCTCTCTAAAATAAATCATAATCACGCCACTCTGGGTATCGCGTTATTTTGTATTTACATATAAAATGTGTTTTACGGGCATTTAAATATTTTATTACAATATAGACACCGAATAGAAAATCTACGCCGAACGTCGCAGTGACGACTCCTAAGTATACGAAAATACAAGGATTTGAAGGAATTTTAAATTTCAAAGGTTACTGGGACGATCGTCGCAGTGTTGATGGAAGATTGCATATTTTAGAAGTTCGTTATTTTTTGACCGACGACACGATACAAATTATCGAACACAACGACGCAGACGGAGGTTTAAAGACATTTGTCAAGAGACAGAAAATCCCAAAAGTACCTATATTTACCAAACGGATATAGAATAATAATTATTATTATTGTATTACAACTTTTTACCCAGCGATAATTTTTGTTATTTTTTTTAGGATCGAATTTATGTGAAACCACCAGGTTTTAGAGAACAAAGCGATTTACTGAACGTATTGGGCGTAAATCCCATGAACCGATGGTACGCTTTTGATCCTTTGACAAATGTTAGCACCGCAGAAGACTCCTATTACCATTGGTCTAATCTGTATGTGGGAGCTGAACTTGACGTGTATAGCAGAAAAATAATTCTGACTAATTGTGACGAATTTACTAAGCAATATTATTTGGATAATGGTTTTGGTATGCCGAGAAGATAATTTCACATTGCAATGCATAATATTGTAGAACGTGTACGTAGGTAATATATAGTTAGGATTTTTTTTTAGACAACGTTCCGTCTATTGACATTCCAAAAGACAACGAAGATAAGGAAAAGTTTAATATGAAAAATAATATACCGGTATGTCGTGATGAAAACGTTCTGAACAAACTACTGAGACACTCAACAATTGAAGCATTAGTATTTAAAGCAAAAATCACACTCAAAGAACCGGACAACCTAAACAGAGAGTTTATTGTTAAGTGTTTTGTGAGCGATCAAAGTTTTTCAGTTTCTGAAACAAAAATTCAGACCGCTGGTAAGTTTTATATAGATTCCATTATGATATTTTTGAGCTGATATTCAACACGGCACACGAGGAAAACATATTGAAAATAATATCATACTTACTCATGTACCTATACTTTTACCTATACTTAATATAATAATAACGTTTATAGGCATCGTTCACATTTAAATCTCTAACTACAACACTTAAAAATATAACCGACTTGGTATCTACTAATTCATAAAATATGTTTTAGGCGCATTAGGTTGTAGGTTTTGTACAAAACGGAAAATTCCGAAAGAATCTCCTAACGAACCAAATGTGATATTTAGATTATACGTTGGCGTCGAATTGACTATAGACGGTTTTAAATTTGTTTTCGTCGACGTTGAGGACAGAACGTTAAGGTTTATGATGGACCATCCGAAAGAAGTGAGTTTAAATTGTATAACCACGAAGAGCTTATACCTTAGAATCAGTGTTGAGCAATACTTTGACCAATCCGGAATCCGGATTAAAATTACGTAATCCAGATTCAGATTCAACCCGTTTAATCCGTTTTTAATCCGGATCGATACTCATAGATCGGATTGATAATCATAATCCGGATTCGACGGATTATAACGTTTGTTTTAATCCGGATTTGGATCGATTCAGATCAATCCGGATTTGGTGCTCAGCACTTCTCAGAACTCATTAAAATACCTATGTATTTCAAACAGTTTCCCCATAGTGATGTTAATTACATTATGAACCAAGTATTAGAAATAATAACACAAGCCGACGATGTTGATACTTTTAACGAAAAATACTTTCAAAGCAGAAATGAAATAGAAAGACAAGAATTTATTGAAATAATGTCTAATTACACACCAAAGTTAAGTCTACACGGAGTATTTGTTTTGGCACTACAGTACAAAAAGCACGAAAATTACAAAGAAGTCCCCGACATTATATTCAAAAGCATTTTACATGACGAGTTGAAGCGCGAATTGTTTGTAGGTTTTGACGGACTCGAGATTAATTTTAAACAAAGGAACTTGGATAAGAAGGACGGATATCTTGAACGCAGTGATGCTTTCAAAGCTCTGAAAAGCACAAAACTGCCGTTTTCCACCGAAATTATAAACATGCTATTAGACCGGTAAGACATGCATTATACTATATATTATAACTTAAATGTATCATCAAGTTGAAAAATAATCAAGTCTTTAAAATGTTTTAAATTCATTTTGCTAATGTTTAAGAAACGTATATTATATTTTTCAACTTTTATTTATAAACTTTACGACTCATTGTTATCAGGTATTTTAGTAAATGCTTCACCATCGATTATCCATTTATTGTTACGGATAATCGTCTGTTTTCAACGTATACTTATACATTTTTTTCAAATATACTTCAAGCTGAAAGAAAAAACCGGACATACTTCGTACGATTGGTGGGCCACTGTTGTAGGAGAGAAGTTAGGGAGGCAGAGGGAAAATTGAATGTACATCTGTGCATTAAGATTGCTGACGAAAAATAATTCTGAACGGAGTTCGATTATTTGGAAGGCCGTAATATTTACGATTTGAAAATAATCATTTCGTAAATTTTCCCGTTTTTCATACTTTTTTCCCGGTTTATCCCATTTATTATGAAAACCCCCGGGAAAATCGACAAATAACCTTTTTAAAGCACCACCTCGGTCAGATTTACCTTCGGGAAAATGTGCTACACTTGAAAAACGGTGTAAAATTTCTGGTAGAAATTTAGAATAGTTGTTTACAGAAAAAATAAAAAATAAACACCGTTGTAAAAGCAATCTTGGAAACGGGACTGCAACTGCATATTTTCCGAATCGTTTTTTGCATGTTTCCCGAGTTTTCCTTATTATTATTATATACGACTTCTCTAAAATATTATACAGCAACACTAGATTACAGTAAATCGGTAGCCGTTTCGTGGCACAGATGTTTGGTTTCCTAACTCTCTACGAGAAAAACAACAATAAACGACATGGACAATAGTAGCTGCCAGTTTTATTATAGAATTCTCGATCCAGTCACAATATAATACGCATATCGGTTTCAATACTTCGGGCCGATCGACGCGTTCTACGTGACATCGCCTCCGACTTCTCTGGAATCGGACACATACTTTGCTATTTCACGACAATTGTCCCGCCAATCCGCGACACACGTCAGTGTTATATTTTGTTAATTACGGCAGGTACGCGCACGATTCCGCGGCAAACTGATTGAACACACGCATCGTCGCGATTCGTCTTTAATTCATAACTTCGACATCATAATCAACGTACGCACACGTACAATTCAACGGGAACACATTGCGCGGATCGAAGCGAATTAATTGTTGTTCGCGCGACGAGACCCGTGTATAATGTAAAATATACGCGGGTGTAGCCGGTACGGGTTGATTTCGAAAATCATGTCGAATAACACTGTACGACTACTTATTATTATTTTCATTTTTCCGTACGTTCGATACCCACGACAATTGCGGACACTCTGCGAATCGCGTCGCGCTGTTCAATTCCGAATGTGCGTAACGATTGTCGACAGAACGCGATAGAAGCGGAACCGTGTTAATTGTTCCGCGGCATTTTCCACGGAAACAACGTTATTCGGGCACGACAGTAGAAAAATAATCATCGGAAACGACGACGCGTTGTTTTGTAGTCCGTGCGTCGTGCATGTTGCGACGGTGCGCGCGAAACGAAAACGGAATCGTCACGCCCGCGGTCAACGCGTTTTTTCACTCGAAAGTCTAATTAGGTATGGAAAAAAACAAAAAAAAAAACTTAACCGCGCTCGCTACGGCGGTACGCCGCGGGTACCGTACGGCGCACGACAAACGCACGCCCGGAGCGCGCGACTTTGTGACCGCGCGCGGGTACGACGCAACGGAGTTACAACGTTACACTGTCGTAAAGTGTTCGCCGGACTTTTAACGTTTTGGTCACCGAAACGGCGATTGTTGTTGTCGTCTGCTGTCCACTTGCACAGGCGTCCGTTTGCCGGGTGTACCGGTCTCAGTTGTCTCGCGCGTGCGGTGACGCGGAGTGAAATATCGCCGCCGGGGCCCTGTGCGGCGTGTATTTTGATACGGCTGTGCCGGAGTGCTCGCCCCGCACGATTACTGTGACACCGACGAGATCGGATGACAAATCATGTCGAATCGAATTTTAAAACACAACCAACGCGCGCGCGCCCGTTTTTTCGTTTTTACTGCTCGGTACGGGACAATAGTTCGTGACGACCGCGGTCGTGCACGCGCATACGGTACACGTATGCGAGTTTACGTTTTTCGCTAAAAACCGGCGCAGGTCATATTCCAATTCGGCAGTGCGTATGTGTGTGTTTGTGTGTTTGTGTGTGTGTGTGTTTGTGTGTGTGTGTGTGTGTGTGTGTGTGTGTGGATGGGGAGGGNGGGGGGGGGGGGGGGGTGGCGGTGGTGGCGTTAAGGTTTACGGGGAACGGTACAGTTTTGGCAACCGCTGAAATCGATTGGTTTCGCATATAGATACACGTGCGCGATCCGTGTTTGCAATTTCCGTTCGGTACCTATACCGAAGGCCCCCGTCAAATTGATATTTAGCACCGAGTTAAATATAATATAATAACATATATTTTTTTTTAAATATAAACAAAAAAAAAAAAAAAAACGTCAAGAAAAACGATCTGTCCTCCTAAAATTAGAACCGATTTTATATACAGTGTGATATTCTTTTATACGGCGAACCGTCGATTTGAAATGAATTAGATTTCTGGTTTTTTCTTTAACGTCACTAATCGTAATGGAACCGTTTAAATTATTTTTTAACATTATTTTCAAATTTTCATCTCTACTCATCCTTACGCTACTATACTGTACCGCGTATGAGTTATAACTGTTAAAAATTTAGATCGCGGACGAGTGAGGAAGGGTAAAAAATTTCCAGTATTTATCCATATGATAATCCTATCATATATGATCACATCTATATTCAAATGTTATTATCATATGATGATAATCATTCCCTAAGGTTTCGGTCTAAATTTTAAATTGGTAAAACTCAGGGCTCAAAAGTTCATGCACTAACAACTACAAAAAAAGTTCTAGTTATTTTTCAGCTATTTATAGACATTTTAAATTTTCGAGTTTTACATCGATGAGCTAAGTTAAAAGACAAGCAAATTCGATTTTGAGTTACGGATGTTACAGTAAAGGTATTATACTACAATTGCATTTAATATACGGATACGTATGAATTATGTTATATCTATGATAATGTATCATTATAATATTATGAATATTTTTTTTAAATGCTTATAACTTAATGTTTATAACAACACATTTTTAAACGAAATAATAATAATGTGAGTGTGAAATACCACGATTTATAAATACTTATATTTCGTTTAAAAATTAAAATTACGAAAACAGACGACGGCACGACATGTAGGTTTAGAAATTTATTAAGAACCGTAGGTTATATATCGTAAAACTATCAATTAAATGGTTATAGTTATAGTTAAATATTTATCTGTTTTTACTAATGGAATCACATAGTACACGCAACGGCAGTCTAGGAATAGACTGTAGATCGCGTTATTTGTAATATCATGTCTACCGCCCATTATATTAATTGTAAAATGTTCCATGTTTTATACTAAACTACCAAATCTAGGGGTATACCCACTTCTTAAATTAGACGTGACACCTGTCACACCTATTATATAGGTTCGGCGCTGTGTGCTCTTAAATGACATAAAATAACATATTCCATTTTTAACTCGTCAGGCCACTCACTCGTAAGCCAGGCCACCGGGCATTTGTCGGGTTGTCCGGCAGACCACTCCGCCCCTGGAGACGGGACAATAGCGTGCTGGTACGACATCCTCTTGATATTACAACAATAACGATTTCGTGTTTTAGATTTACTCGACCGGAGACAAACCGAGTGGCTTATATGGATTTGCTGAATTATTTGAACTATACTACGGACCCGACTTCCGGATCATCGGGCCTGTCGAAGGTACGTACCTATATATAAAATACCCTTTTTACTCGAAGGACATTACGCGGCGATATTCTTATTATATATAAATATAATCCGGAGCAATTGAATTGGCTCTCAAATCTATATTATGACGGGTTATAGTATATACCAAACGTTTTATCCTTTTAAAATTACTATTTAGTCGGCTCTTAACAATTTAGGCATACCCTACACTGTATACTCCCATACGAACGTATAGGCATCATATCATAAATGTGCGAGTCACCGAAATTAATGTGATTTTATTAATTTTTTAAACACTTTCTTGGAATACCAGAGGTACCTACTAAATAACCAATTAATAAACTGTCCGATATATTAAATTCTATTTATTTTGATTTTAATCGTACACAATATAATTACATTATATAACCAGATTGCTGTGATATTTACGGTCCATTGAATTATGGAAATAATTGCATTATTTGTATTTTGATTATTATATTTTGACGAACGAAAATATTTTAACGAATATATGATTACGGTGTAATAATCGTCAATCACCGTATAAAACAGTATTGACATATTATTTTATCGAGAATGTTCGAAAACCCCACAGATTTGGATTTATTTTGAAATGCTGCTCAAATATTTAACGCGATATTTATGTTACTATTACTATAAGGTGTCCGCGTTTCGAAAAATCGAACGATAACGAAAACGATTTTCGGTAGCCAATTCAGCGATTTCGCGTCACAGTGCTCGAATTAGAAAAATTAAATAAGAGGTACTATAAAACTTACAAACAAATTAACGTCCCTTGCAATTTTTTTATTCAGCCTCATTTGTGGTGATTTTACCTCTGAATTTTTCTTGCGCCGATTATTATGCCTGTAAACCACTTTTCCATCAGAAATCTTGCTTCGACTTTGCTGTAGGTTTCTAGTAGACAAATTTGTTTATTTCGTATATTGAGTTCATTTTTGATTTTCACGGTTTGAACTGTGTAGTTTTCCTAATAACGGGTATAAAGAAAAACTGAAATATTCACACAATTACGGTTTCTGTTATATTCTAGTTTTTTTTTTTAGTTGTATTTCAGTGAAAAATAATCGCAGTGACCTGAAGTTTTACCGAATATTTAAATTAGCCCTTTCCAGATATGGAACCATTTTCAAAACATAGTGGCAAATTATGAGCTATTTGAAATTTTCTAGCTTTTTATTTTTGTGTGGATAAAACTGTTTTGACCCAGTGAAAACTCTCGAAAATTTAACACAAAGTTCATGATAATATATAATTAGTATATATTGAGTGTGTATTAACATGATTAGTGGTCAAAAAGAAAAAAAGTTCAGCGTATAATGTAGTCATTTTTTTTAACGAGCGTCGTTTAAAGTTCAATATTTAATGAAAATACAAAACTATGTACCACCCCATGTGTTTCACTTAAAAAAAATGGTTGAGGTACGTTAGAATTTCTGAAAAGTGAGTTGAAGTACTCTGTCCCCTTGCGTCCATTATCCAGACGAGTTCTGTTTGACGGCCTACGTCGTGCACCATCCGATTTTGGGAGCCAATTCGACTTCCATTATATATATATATATATATATATATATATATGTATAGTATATGTATACATATGTATAGTAGATGACGTTTATAATGATACCGGTTGTAGTGACTCATCGGATATAATGTAACTTTAAAATTTAGATTGAAGTTCCCGGCAAAACTCCTATATTAGGATGCACTAATTTTGTATCGATTACTATGAACTTTATTTTAATTTTATTTTTGTTGTATGCGTTGAAGTCACGATTTAGTGATAGAAATATCATATCATATTGCTTGTAATACAATATTATGTTTGTATAAACACTTATGATTAATTAAATTTTAAAGTTTTATTTTATCATTTTGGTTATAATGACAATTGGTTATTATAAATAATAACTATATGAATAATAATTTTAACTATAGTCACTTGAACGTCATTATAAACGGTTTCTACTGTAATAGTATACGTAAGCCGATACTCGATATCGGCAGTATGCTACATAGGAATATTGGATAACGGTAAAAAAATGGTATCGGTTTAAATATTAATATACTATCGTCATGGGCGCAACTAGGGTAAAAATTGTTTTGGAATCCCAGAATCGTAAATCTTCCTTATTATAGATCTATTTAAATAAATAAATTTGAACTCAGTTGCTTAATTTTACGGGTCTGTAGAGGTTTTTAAAACCTGGTATTTTCTAAAAAAAAAAAATTCAAATTTCAGCATCAAAATGGTTGATGATTGGTTGGGGAGAGGGTTGCAAGTTGAAACCGCCGATGCACCATGGATCAGTCGAAATTTCAACCCTCTGGTTTATTTGAGGCTCTGTAGGGATGTACAAAGCTTAAAAAATATCCCTTTCCCGCAATAAAATGGTAAAATTTGTAGTGAATTCGATACAAGTTATAAAAGATATTATTTCAATCTTTCTATAAAAAAAACTTCAATTCCTGAATTTGAGATCATTTCGATAAGAGGGAACTGCTAAAAGTGTAGCATAAAATAACAGATACAATACAGTGCAATAGTCTCTATTTACGGGGAAAATTCGATAAAAATAAAACACACATTATTCATTCTTTGCTTTAATTTGTATAAAAAATTAATTTTTTGATTAGTCATCGTAAACTCGTTAAGAATTTATTTCGTATTTATTTTATTCCCCGAGTCAGTGTAATCAATAGTTTGTTATCATTAAATGCTCAATGTTGTAGACTATAGTTATTTATTGTTGTCATTACATCAGCGTTATCTATTCTAAAAGGTAAAAATACCATTATTATTCAATATTAAAACCATCATCACAGTAAAAAAAAAAAAAAGTAGTGATGTACACACACACTGAACAAGTCACAATACAGATTACTTGAAAAATGATCAATATTTAAAAGTTGTAATCCATATAGTCTTTACCAAGTGGCCAGAAGAAAATCATTACCATTACCAAGATCTTTGATTTCAAACATTGATGTAATAACTTGCCGATAAATTTTGGAAAGTGGTAACACAATTTAATCTGTTGTGATATCAATACAAAAACAAGTTCACTGAGTATTGATTCGTAATTTTATTACTTTATCAATATAAAATATGCAGGAATAATAGCTCACCCCTCTAGTTGCGCCCATGAGTCTATTGGTTAAACCGTTTTAGATTTTGAGCGGAGCGAGGAACGTTTGTTATTGGTTTCACTGTAAATGCTATGTCTGCAAACAACTTTTAGACCAGAAATTGGGCTCCGATAATCGAATTCGGTGTGGTGGTTTCTATATTGAGGGGGTTTAGGACAATTCGGCACGGCCGTTTTGGCGTGCCCGTTTCGGCGCGGCGTGTTTTACTTTTTATGGCCGCATTGATGTATTTATTAAAAAGATATTATACTAATATAGTAGTTTAATTTCCTGTATCGTTACGAAACAAATTAATTACAAATATAATATAATACTGTGGTATTTATAAAATTAAAGAATTAGTTTGAAAAACAATGGATCGCTGTAGTTTTATTTTAATGAAATATTATGTGCGGCCCTCTTCTAAACAATCGATTAAATTGCGATTTTTATATTAGCTCACAATTTTATATAATCGGCTGTCAAGTTCTGTATATTTTTTTTATTTTCCGGAAGGACTCCCTCCAGCCATAAGTTGAGCCAAAAACACACCGTGGCCTGTTGGAACTCTTCACAAACAATAGTTAATGAAAGCTAAGTATTGTTGGATTGCAAACGTCCATTTAAGCAGGGCGTTATTTCAGTTTTTCAATAGGGATGTAAACATTTTAACCCGGCCAATTTCGCTGAAAAATTTCCATCCGTTTCGTTCGCTTATACTCGTATTTCTGCTTTGCATTTTAATATTTAAATACTAAGTTTGTTGACATTAGAGTAACGTTAGTACTAAATTACGGCCATAATTTAATTTTTCACGAAATATTTAACCCGTTACGCCATGATTTATTCCACGTGACGTCAGTTTTGACGTGTATATTCCTTATACGCCTGTTTATTTAGCCATGATAACAATTAACAGTTGACAATTAACCGTGGTAAAAATCCACCGTATCTCACTCTAACATCTCATACGGTCGGGCCTCTGTAGAGGTGGCCCAGTGCAGTAATCCGATTACCTTTTTGCATTTTTAAATTTATGAACAAAGGCGCAATTATAACATTTGATGTCGGTCAAATAACCATTTAAAAATCTAAGGCTGCTAAAGTATTATTGTCTGAATCCTTCAAATGACACTCCTGCATTTAGGTGGCTATTACTAAGTTCATTATAAATAAATGTACTGATAAAACCACCGCGCCAAAACCGTATTGCCGAAATGTCCGATTCCGACATTGAGGGGGTTATTATTTGTTTTTTTTTTTTTCGATATTCCCCATAGTTTTCTCGTAACACAATCGTAATGGGTAAACGTTTGCGGTTAGACGCACATAGGCGTAACTAGGAGAGGGGGGGGGGTGCTAGAGTGTCTTTAGCACCACAAGTTGAAACGTTTCGATACATTTTTACGTGAACAATTGTAAATAAAATGTGTAATCGCTTATTATATAAGTGTCGTGCAAAGTGTGTTGTGGGGACATCGCCATAGAGGGTCCGTGATGTGTCTATAATTTTAGCACTCCCAAGATTGGTGGTCTATAGTCGCGCCTACGACGACGACGGACGCGTATAACCCACATACGGTTGGACCGACCTCCGCTCAGAATCGTTTTTCCCTACGGTCGGGCGCAGATGCAGAGCCCTAATCACCGTTCAATTATGCGTGTTTGTTTTTTTTTTTTTTTAATTTTGTCATACCGACTAATCCGCGTGCCCGCGCACAGGACTCGCTGCAGCACAGGAACCCGTCGACCGGCGTACATCAACGGGCGCTCATCGATTGCGCGGCGTTCGTCGACGACTTGCGGAAACCGCGGCGGCGTCCGGACGGGCGCCCGGTTCCAATTGGCTACCAACATCGCCCGGAGACCCGTTGAACCGCCGCCGCGCAAACTGGTTCGTTTGGCAACCACTTCCCTCTCCCCCCCTCACCGCAGACGTACGGCAATACGGCACTCGACATGTGTTGCGGCGACACGGCATTCAAGGGCGTCGCGTCAGTCGTGCGTCGTCCGTGCGTTTGTCGTCGCGTCGTGTTGCGTTCCGGCCGCTGCAGTACAATTCGGTTCAGTTCGAAACGTTCGAATGAGTCAGAAACAGAGTGCGCAGTGCTAATCGAATTTCGTGCTATTATTATTTATTACTAGTGCATTTTAACGCGTATACCCCCAGACATTACTATTGCCGTTGCCGTACGATATTTTAACATTTTTTTCTTTTTTTTGTTTTTACCGTTTACGATTCTTTATTGTCCATCGCCGATATATTCGTGTTTATTTTTTTTCTTCGTTAATTATCGACCGTATATATCGTATATTTTTTTTTTTTTTTTTTTACCGCTTTTGTTTGCTCTACGATAGGTATTTTTCGATCGTAACGCGTCACCTGTCGCGGTATATTGTAGTGTCGATCGGCGAATACGATCCGCGTGCGCGCGAAAAATCGCCGAACACGTTCGTCCGTCCCGATGGTGTGCGTCGGGCCGCAGCAGCTCCCCGGAACTTGTTGAACGCGACCACTGATACAACGACACAGAAACAAGGTAATTTCATATTCGACAATAATGTCGTTTAAAAGCGACGCGGTGCGATTTATCGTTTTCGCCGCACACCCGTCGAGCGCGTCTCGTCCCGGACCAGCCGCGTATAGTTTTTGGAATATTACCGACAAAACGTTCGTTCTCGTTTTCGACGGGCGGCCCGATCCGCGGGTACGCAGGGCGAACATTAAAGTACCTTGAGTTGCCGGGCGCGGGAACGGAAAAAACCAAAATACTCATTCATCAACGCCATCGCCGTGCCGACTAAATTGTACGATTCATAGTGACGTGCCCACAAGACGAATATTATAAAAAGACGCGAACTTTTTCGGGATGTCCCCGTTTCCAACGAAAAACGCCGTATCGCCGTAACTCCCCTCCCCATTCGTCCGCATGTAGATTAGATTAGAATTTGGAAATATCTCGAGATACGGCCGTTTTCGTCGGGGCGGGCGGATAATGACCCGTGCTGTATGTGTAAAGCTACTAAAACGCGGGGTACCAGCTCCGGGGGGGAGGGGNGGGGGGGGGGGGAGTAGAGAGTCGGACCAGAGACGGCAGCCGTTGGAATATCGTTCGCCAGAGAGTATAAAACAATAATAATGTTGAGCGTAGGTATTGCCCGCGGTTATTGTTTACGATAATAATTATCGCGCACAATGCGCTCGATAATCGTAGTAATATAACAATATAATGTTATTTTTTTTTTTTCTCTATAATATTACCTGCTATAGGCCTACTTATGTAACGCGTCTTATCGTGCGTCGGCTTTCGTAACGTCGGACCGAGGCTCTTGCGCGGTAGGCACTCGGCGAACAACAATAACCGTCGTCGTCATCGTTAATTTGCTTCGTTGTTTTTTTTTTATTTCTCCTTACCAGCCAATTAAACGGAAAAAATACGACGTACAGAGGGCAAGACCTAATTTAATCGACGACGCCGAACGGGCGAGCGTAATTTGTACGTAAGCGGGTGGGTTCGGTTAGGTTTTTATTGAAGTATTTATATTATAAACGATATCATTGGCGGGTTTACGTATCGGAAAGAGTAGGCGGCGAAAAACCGTAAACCCTACGCGCGTCAACGGTTCTCGGTCGCCGTCAATAGCAATATAAATAGACGGGCACGTATCGTATTGTGTATTGCGTATATAGTATTCAGTATAAATTATCGCATTAAACATTAAATATCGCAAAAAAGTTGAGGCACTCAGCGGTATCTTATTATTATTAATGTATCCGATATCTTTTGTGTGATTTGTTTTATCTGCTTTATAAAGACGACAGTTTGTAGCCGTACAATGGGTATAATATTGTTTTCGTTAAACACCGGGATGAGTCATAATTCACGGTCGCCGCGACATTGTCAGCTATTGTGTATACAGCAACGAATATGATACGACGGCAATAGTTCCGTGTGAAAGTTGTCGGGCCCGGCGCACCAAAGGCCCACAGGCGCGCCTTGGTGATGGTGTTGGTGGTAGTGGTGGGGGGGGGGTGCTAGAGGGTCCTAAACACAAAAGTGTTCACGTAAAAAACAAAAAAAAAAAAAACATTCGCTCCACTCAGAATCTAAAATTGTAAATAAAATGTGTAGTTGTTTACTATAGGTATCGTGCGAAGTGGATTGCGGGGGTAGTGCCTAAAACTAGTCAAATTTTATTAATTTACTCACATTGAACATTTAGACTATCGCACAATAAAATCAAACACCAATAAGTACTTAAAATTAAACAATATTCGAAACTTTAAAGTCTAGGGGGGGATAGATGCCCCGTATTGCCGCCTCCTTTCCAGGCGCCACTGACTGTGATTATTATACACTTTAGTTTGTACGCCTTTGAGAAAATTCGTTATGGTCGTCTTCCGAAATTCCACGATATTCAATTGAAATGATAGCATACATTCCAAAACTCAACGGTTTTGAAAACATTTTGCTGTCGGATCTCGGTCCGAAACTCAGCGTTGCCGATGACATGTCCGTCGGGTCCACAATCACATTTTGCCGATTGTTCCGATGGATATTTCTTATGCACGTGATACCTATCGTATTTGATAACAAAGGATCGACGTTGGAATCAAAATTTTATCATGTTCCGTAATTTAACTTGATCTAGATATTTTAGTCATTATTCATGATACATCTAGACGGAACATTCATCATAAAAACACGTTTTGATGTGTGGAGTTTTATTTCGAGGACAGTAACGTGTGAGATGATAAACGGAGTGTTTTAATTAAATGTCCTCGGAATGCGAGTTTGCTTTCTCCCACACTATAGGTTTTATATCGGCCTGTCACTTTTGATGATCAATTATGCAATAACAACAAAATATCATAAAACGAATTTTAAAATTTTGTTTAAATTCTTTTATTCAATTATTTGAACCTTGGGTACTTCAACAATACATATAATGCGGTGGACTGTAAATATTTTGGGTGGCCGAGCCATCGTAGACCACCCCTTAGTCGCGTGCCTCTTTTGATCCGTTCGGACCGACCACAACTCCTAGTCTTTGATTGAATATTCCGTCTAGAGAGTGGGGGGGGGATACAAGAGAAGCATACGCACAGAGCGCTATGGTCTTGGAGCCGCCAAAAAATCGTTTTAAAATGCATGACATAATAATATCACTTTAAATTTACCAATAGAATTTGTATATTAAAAATGAATAATACTATCATAATTCATTAATATATGTAAATAATGCGCGATTCAACAATAAGATACGGCAACATACGAGCCACGTGTTTGGCCGTGCAGACGATTGATGGGTTTGGGATTAAATTTCGATAAGTTTATGCAACCTAGCAGATAAATTCTAATGTACAATAAGAACGAACTAATCTCCTTTTACATAACATTTTAGCTTAACGATAACTCTGTCCCTATTGGTTTCGATTTTTTTTTTTCATAAACCTTATTGTTGTTAATTAACTCTCTTTTATATTTTGTATTTTTTACTCTTATATTTATTGTTATTTTTCTTATTAATAC